ACTGAGCGACCTCCCCTGTGCCTGACACTAATGGTCTGAATTAGAGCCACAGAGACTGTCGGGTCTGAGACTGTCTGCTCTGGTGTCTCCTCCAATCCTCGCACACATCACTCACCCCTACTGTGGTGTCTTTTCCAGTCCTCAAACACATCACTGACATTTGCTGGGCCCAAATTTCCTCAGCTCTGAGATGGGGGTGAAGGATGGAAGGAGGAAAACAGAGGTTCTGTGATCCTCTGTAAGCCAACAACCAAGCCAATCTAAGAAGGCCTGGATGACATCATTAACCAGAGGTACAAGGTCAGCAGGAAGCAGAACTTCACCTACTGCTCCCCAAATGGCACTGGATTTGCCTAGTTAAGACACCTGTCTTCCAAGTATGAGAACCTGGTTTGATCCCCAAAACCCATGGAAAAAAGCCAGGCATGATGATGTACACTTGCAAACCCAGTGCTGACCAGCCAGCCAGCCTAGCCTCACTGAATTGATGAGCCCAAGGTCACAGTGACAGACCTTGGGTGGGGATGAGGGTGTGAACGGATCATAAGGACCAGAACAGAATTTGTCCCCACAGATCCATGCACACCCCACCAGACTCTCTCTCTCTCTCTCTCTCTCTCTCTCTCTCTCTCTCTCCTCTGGCTGAGACTAACAAAAGTTATTAAAGAATAACCCACTTGGGGACATTCATCACAGCGCTTTTAGGGCACTAATACAGCCCATCACACAAACAAGGTAAACATCTTCTTCCCAATTTTACCTGTTACATAGCAGGTCCAGAAGCGCTCAGTAGTTCTTCTGGTGCCCAGATGTTCCTGCCATTGGGCTGGCTGCTCATATCATGACATCAAGCTGTGTTTGTTCCTAACATGCCAGGGCCTCAGTTCTTGGGTCAGACCCAGTGAAAAGAATTAATGACTCCTAGGTGCCACTTGGTGGTGGCGGGGCACCCATCATCAGATCAAGGGCTTCAGCATCCCTCACTGAGGAATCACGGTGAAGATCTACCACCTCCCCTAGCCATTTACTTGGCAGGCTGTTTTACACTATTGCCACAGCCACTGAGACTGGAGCTTCGTGCTAATTTTCCTTTGCTTCAAATGGCTGAAAAGTGTCAATTTTAATGAGGATCAAGCAAGGCTCCTAAAAGGACCTTGTAAATGGAGTGCAATCTCCTCACACACAACCGCAGCCTGCTGTTTTATTTGATAACACAAGAGCATCACTTAAATTCCATGCTTTTACACCAACGTGTGGAGGTGGGGCCTTTCTGGCTTGCTGCATCCTAACACCTGAGCCATAGATGGAGGTAGCATAGCAACACTCCAGCAAGAGCCAGACTTCCTCCTGGTCACTGGAAACACTTTCTGGTTGTCTGTGAAATAAAGAGGTAACTGAGACCATGCTACCACACACCAAAATACTGCATTTGGGCTCCAGGGCCACCAGGGGTTCGTTGCCTAAGCCTGAATCCTTTCTGTTTCCACTTGCCAAGATGTTCAGAACAACTGCCAACCCTGTAAGTCTCTATGAGGTTCTTCGGCTGACTCAGTTCTCATTTTATTAGTGCCCCTGGAAGCAACTGCTGGGGTTTTCAGCAATAAATAAATAAAGAATAAAAAAGAGGGAGAGTATTCCACACCTCCATCTTTACTGAGAATGTCTTATATTCCACTGACTTTTGGCTTCTATTTATAAAGAGGGTTCAAGGCTTAGAAAGAAATCACTGGAGTTGTGCTTTAATGGATATTCCCAACCAGCATTGTGTCATTATTGGCCCGGGGTTGAGCTGGGCGATCTCCCAAACTTGTGACATAATCAGGCCTCTCTCTGCATTGCTCTGTACACTCCATGCTCCCTCCACATCACACCACTGAATCATCCGCTCTTTTCAGCAAGACTGATTGCCAGGGGATTAACACGAGACAGCCCAATTCCATTATTCAGCAGCCCCATTCAAATCCCAGCCCTAAACTCTAAGAGAGACTTCAGAGCTTTCACAGGGATGAGCTGCCAGAGAGCTCAAAGGGGAGGTGGGGCGAGGGGCTTTTGAATGTTTAACACAACAACTCAAGCTAAAACCTGCTGTAAGCAAGACCCTGGGGCTACAGCGGCCCTGCCTTGACTCCTCAATTCTTGGAATGGCCCCAATCATGAATAATTTGTAGACCTGTGCTAGGCTAAAATCCCAAGGGACTCCTACAGAACAATTTTTTTCCTCCATAATAAATTACTTAATTTTAAATTTAAGTATTCAGAACTCCAAATCTAACTTTCTTTTCCTAATGCAAACACTCATGTCAGAATCAGTCCACACAGCCTGAAGTAAATCCCAAATCATGTGCTCTTTGATGAATGGATTTAGAGCCATTTGTGACAAAAGAAATCCTCTCACACGTCACTCCACTGCGTGTGTGTATTTACTAAAATATCTGAGCTTAGTGTACCACAAACGTCTCTATAAGAAACAGGACCAGAGCCAGGCCTGACGACAAAAGAAATCCTCTCACACGTCACTCCACTGTGTGTGTGTATTTACTAAAATATCTGAGTCTAGTGTACCACAAACGTCTCTATAAGAAACAGGACCAGAGCCAGGCCTGATGATGCAGGTCACAAGATGAGGATGCTGAGGATGCTGAGGCAGAAGATCAAAACTTTGACCTGCCTCGGCAACAGAGCAAGTTCAAGGACAGTCTGGGCAACTTAACAAGATCTTGTCTCAATATATAATGTACATATTTTTTAAATGTCTGGAATAGCTGGGTTGTAGTGGTGTACACCTTTAATCCCAGCACTCGGGAGGCAGAGGCCAGCCTGGTCTACAGAGTGAGAGTTCTAGGATAGCCAAGGCTACACAGAGAAACCCTGTCTCAAAAAATCAAATCAAAACAAACAAAGCACCCAAAAAAATGTCTGGAATATAGCTCAACAATAGAGCAATTGCCTAACACATGGCAGGCCCCGACTTTAGTCCTCGGTATTTGGGGATGGGGAAGTGGAAGTTACAAGCCTGGTGTGGTGGCAAGAGACAGGGGGATCAGGAGAGTTCAAGGTCATCTTCAACTACAAAGCAAGTTCAAGGCTAACCTGGACTACATGAACCTCTATCTTAAAAAACAAAGAAGTAAATAAAAATTAAGGCATAAAAGAAGGCTCTGACACTCTTTTATGGATAGTCATAAAGTAAACATCACACAATGGCCAATCAGATTTCACAATTAAGCCCTCTGAATAACTCAAATACTCTTGTCGCTCAAATGCTTACACTCAAATGGAAGTTGAAGACTATATAAACGATGCTTGGTAAGGCAGACTTTTTTGTGACTATAACCTCACTTAACTAGACAGAAAATCAGTACGACTTTCTGCTTAACTATTAAGTAACCTAAATCTTCAACTAAACAAATCTATGCAATTTGGTTAATCCTATATTGAAGAAGGTTTTTAGTGGTTCTTGGGTAATTCAAGAATTTGTAGAATCTCCCTTCAAATAGTTTATATTTTATAAAAGAGACAGAAACACCCATAAGTAAGATAATATCTAGGACCATGCCTAGGAAATAATGTAGGAGAGTCGTGTTTACAGAATTGAGTGGGTAGACATGTTTGTGGAGTCACCATAGGCAGTGAGAAATCAAAATGGATCACTGTGAGCTCTGAGTTGAGGTCTCAGTCAACAGCTTGCATATGGAAGAGTAATCCAAAGAAATGACTGAGGACAGGGAAGGAGCCAAGTGTCACCCTGCCTGACAAGTTATAGCACAAACAGCTTCTATAGGGAAGAGCTATGAACCCACCATCCATGCAACATAGAGTCCTAGCTGCAGACTCCTGTTGGTGACCATGCCAGCAAACACTATCAACTTGAAAGGACCTAGAGTTGCCTAGGAGACACAGGAGTTTCTAGATTGAGTTAATAAAGGTGGGGAGATCCACCCTACAGGTGGGTACCCCAGTAAATGGGCTGCACAAAAAAAGGAAGGAGGTACCTTGTTCCTGACTCCATGCCTTTCCCACCATGATAGACACAAACTGTGAGCCCAAATGAAACCCTCCTTCTATAAGTTGTTTTTGTTGAGTATTTTGTGCAACAACAAGAAAAGTAACTAATATAGCAATGAATCCAATCTCTTCATTAGTCATAACAAAAACCCATGATAACGAGTAAAACTTGGGGGAAAATGTTTCTTTTGGGAACTACAGGCTACATAACCTTAAGATGGGCAACAAAAATGACTCCTTGTCTGTGACAGAAACATACTTGTGAGCTCTCATAGGTGGTTCCCTTTGCTCAGAGAAACATCTTCCAGGAATAGGCAGGCATAAAACTGCCTAATGACCATCTCTGACATTGACTTTTTTCCTCTAAGCAGGCACAGGCTCAATCATTACACTAACTTTTTCTTTACTCTTCAGCCAATGTGAAAAGTCGCCCTTCTTTACACAATGTTCCACTCTTTTAAAAACAAAATTTCCCAGGGCTGGAAAGGCAGCTCAGCAATTAACAGCACACACTGCTCTTCCAAGGACCTGGGTTCCATCCTTAGCAATCCACACTGGGTGGTATGCAACTGTCTACCCCTCTAGCTCCAGAAGATCCAACACCCTCTTCTGGCCTCTACAGGCACCTGCACTCACTTGCACATATCCACACACGGACACACACTTACATATGCTTTTTCTGCACACATTAAGATTATTCAGAGCAATCTTAGCTTCCAGAATTAGATGTTTCTACCACAGCCTCCTGATAAAAAGATAATGCTTGGGTACCAAGGAGATCCCCCTGAATCCCATAAAACCTGGTTACCCAGGACATATGACAGAACACAGTCATATGACAGCCGCAACCTCCTCAGATGACAATTTATAGGTACAAAAAGGAGACAAGCTGATTCTCCTTAACTTCGAGGAGAAAATAACCGTACTGTCATGGCTTTAAATGAGTCAAGCTAGAATAAATTGGTACTGTACTGCTGCCCAAAAGGCAAACTCACCAACAACATCAAGGTGGTATGTGTGGTTGATGGACCCGTACTCATTCTCCACTAGGCAGGTGTAATTGCCTTTGTCTGATGGGACCACACTCTCCATGATAAGGCTCCAGTGCTGATTTCGTACCTGAAAAATCCAAAGGAAAGGCTGTTGTTATTCATAACAAATATAATACCAGATACCCATAGTATGCTTTCTTGACTTAAAATGAAGTTGGCTGGGGTTTAGAGTTTAACTCAGTGAACAAAACAAGCTCAGCATGCACATAACCAGGAAGTTGTTGGAAGCAGAGAATGTAGAAGAATTGTAAACTGCCCTCTCAATCAATATTCAGAATGGTGATGAATGATAAGAAAGGTTTCCCTAGAACAGCCTAGTAAGCAGGTATTGGCATAGTACACAAAGGCGTGCCCCTGTCTTGGATTTGAGGTTTCATTAGGAGAACCCACATGGCCAAGAGGCCCAATCACTAAGCCACACAATGTCATACCTCACTGGCTACTAAAGCCAGCCTTCTAATGGGAGCCTGCAGTCCCCAGTGCACCATGTAACCACCTGGAGTCAACACTGGTGGTCACTGGCTATATGCCACACCTTCTACCTTAGCTAATTTAATTTCCCCAGAAGCCCTTGGGTCAGATCTATTCGATTCCTGGAACTTCTTGTTTCTCTCTTTGGGCCCCCAGATCTATGGAAGTCTCAAAAAGTCTCACCTGGGACCATCTCCCTGCTGGGAGATGAATAAATGGCACATTTTCCTGGTATTCCCAGAATTCCAGACATGGGAGCAAGGACTCCAAGTTACATATCCGTTTGTTTGTAAGTGCCTTGAGACTTTCCAAAGATAAGAAGTGCAGATAAAACTGACCTATTTTGAGTCCTGCCACAGCATGTCAGCTCGCACTAGGTTGTGATGTTCTCATCTTGTGAGAACCTAGAGAGTAAGGAGAGCCACCTCATAGCCACGCCCTTCTAAGAATTGAGGGCAGGCCAGTTGTCCCATAACGCACCTTCGAACAGGGGTAAGAGCATGCCAGTGACCATAACTGCAGAGTAGGGCTACTGCTGCTGAGCTCAAACCATTGTTCCCCACCAGGGTGTCACATGGTACCACTGGGATGAGGGGTCGGATCCCTCTTAACAGCACAAGCAAAGGGTTAGGAATGAGGCTGAGAAGTCACCTTGCTTAGATGCCACTGACCTTGCACAATTGTGGAGTTGCCTCAGAGTTCAGCATGGGAAGGTGGCAGAGGAAAACTAACTCAAGCAAAATAGTTGGGAAAGGGAATGAATCCGAGGACTTTAGACTGATAATGCAGACAGTCTGTGCTCTACTCAAAACAATCGCATTGGTCTCCTCAAAGGACCTGCAAGACAGCCTGAGAGGAAGCCAGATGGCTTCCTGACAGCTAAAAGTTCCCTATCCCATGCAGTATGAGTGTCCTGATGGGGAAACCTATGTCAAATTCCACAGTCTTACGGGAACCAATCTAATTCCTGTTGCAGGATGCTACCTGAAGCTGTCGCTCTAGAAGATGGGGAGGAAGGGACCAGCTCTCTTGCAGAACTCAAGGCAGACCCTCTGCATCCCAAGATCTCAGGAACATCAGAAATGACTTCTTGCCAGACACATGGAGGGCAATTTAGAGATGCAGCCACAGGCTCCAGAGTCACCAAGCCTCATAATCCAGCCTTGAGCCCTGCTGTAAATATTCAGTTCTTTGAGCCCCCGCTCAAATGTCATGTCTGTAAGCCTTTAATCATGGCAGCGCCTCACTCTGGACCCCATCCAAACTGTCAATGTCTTTCTTGTGTCTGGATTCAGACTCTGGCACATGGCATATTCCAAATGGATTTGCCCCGAACTGCTAAGGGAGGTGACGTTGGCTGTCCAAGACAACAGATCTTGGCTTGGGGCAACACAGCCAGGCAGCTGCCTTTTTGGATACCCGCCCCCCACCTCCTTTGCAGAGCACATGGTCAATTAGGTGTTTCCTTGGGTCTATGGTCTTCTAAGAAAGAACCCTGAATATTAACTTCTTGGAGACACACTACAAATACCAATAAGTTAACATGGATAAAATGCTATTACAGTAAGATGATGCACATATACCGAAATGGGTATCTCCACTCTTCTAGAGCCTGGTTACTCAGTCAACACTCCACCACATGCAGTGCTGTTCATATTTTCTTTCCAACACCACTGTTCCCAAATGAATTCCTTGATACACCATCAAAGCCAAATTTTAAAGCTGTGGCATTTTTCAAACTGATGTTCTCAGAAACTGCTAACAGTGGGACTTAGATACATCTATAGTAGAGGAGAGCCTTTCGTTAATTAGTGGCTGCTTAACAGCAAGCCAAACAATAATGGCAACTCTGTAAGAAATGAGAACCAATCGGGTGGTGGTGGCCCATGGCTTTAATCCCAGCAGAGGCAGAGGCAGGTGGATCTATGTGAGTTCAAGGCCTGCCTGATCTACAGAGCAAGTTCCTCCAGGACAGCAAAGGCTGTTACACAGAGAAAGTCTGAATTGAAAAACAAAACTTAAAAAGAAGAAGAAGAAGAAAGAAGGAAAGAAAGGGGGAAGAGAGAGAGGGAGAGAGAAAGGGAAACCACAGGCACCAAGTTTGGAAATGTATTAAATCAGTGTGTGTTCACCAAACTTCTGTGACCTGAAGAGGGTACCCTTGCAGCAAGCATTCGAACAGCACCATGCCCTTCAGTGTGCTCTTCTCAGAGTCTCAGATCTGCAGGGCCACAATTATTTTGTCATTTGGGTCAAATGCATATACATTGTTTTTGCTTTCAGAGAACAGGGAATGTAAATATGCACACCGCGGCCCCCCCCAAAAAAATCTGAAAAGTTGCTCAACCTCATTAGCAATCAGAGGAATGCAAATGAAAACAATAATGAGATACTTGTTCACTAGCTGATTAACAAAAATGAGGAAGATCAGTGTCACTTTAGAACTTGGTGAGTGAATATAAGGGAATACAGACACAAATGGAAAATTGCAACATAAAGCCGGAGAAACCAGTCTGAGGAATAATTTGGTGGCACCCATTAAAATTAATGACACTTTTTGTTGTTGTTGTTTAACCTTGTTAATGCTATGTCTGGGTATCCTGTCCACAGAAAATAATCAGTCTATCCAATCAGCAAATTCAAGGTTCAGTGAGACCATGTCTCAAAAAATAAGACAGAAAGTGATTGAGGAAGACACTTGATGGCAACCTCCAGCCCCCAAATACGTACATGTGTGCACACACAGGAACACACAGACACAGGAACTGAAAAAGAAGGACTCCTCAGCCATCCGATGGGTCCTAGATCCTGCTATGGGGAATGTCCTCATCTGGATCTCTCTAGCTGACCAAGAACAAAAGGCCAGGAACAGGAGGGATCCTGCATTGAGTAACATTCCTGTAACTTTATTTTCATTCCTGCCCACAGCCAAATGTGTGTGGAATTCATCGTTATTTTCCAGCTGCCAAATAACAGAATTGGCGAGCAGAGCTTCAAAACTATGCTCACCAAGGTCTTTCTTGAAATAACATTTCAGTATTGAAACAAAGCAGACCAGAGCTAAGCCCCTGAGCTCTTTAGCTTGGAGCACAAAAAGCAGATTCCACAACTGTCCCACACCCCACCCATGTGAAGATAGAAGGTGGTCCAGACAGTTGGGGGGGGGTTGTTTTGTTTTTGCTTTTTTCTCCCAGACTCTTTCTGCTATCTCAAATCTCTCTAAGTGCCTGGAAAGGCCTCAGCTACTACGTTCAGGTGACAACAGGGAATGAAGAATTAACATCAATTCAGAACCAAACATATCACCAGAGAATCAAAGGCCAAAGGCCCCAACTGTCACCTGGATGTTTGGCTTCCTCATTGCAAAACAAGAAAATATTCAAAGATTTCCAAATACCCAGGTGTTCCCTACCAAGTGGAATAAACATCCAGAAGCTGCACCCTGAGCCAGCTCGAAGGAGGTGTCCATGTGACAACAGATGCCCCTGTGACTTCCCAGAAAACAGCCATCACTGTAACCTGGGCTTCGGAAATGTGGCCTATGAATACACCCTCTGTTGTTAAGATATGGGGCTTATTTCCAGAAGGCTCCTAGGGATGTCAAACCATGCCTTCCAAATGTAATTGTGCATGGGGTTCACACGTGTGGAGGGACTGGCACTTGGAGCTACTTGTCATCTCCCAGAAATGAAGGCAAACACTTGTTAATGCTTAAACCGGCATTGATGGGTAGCAGTTTGCTTTGCAGGGGGTTGTCCAGAGAGCAGCGCTGCACCATCAGACCCTGTACCACTACCAGTGGAAACAGAATCTTCACTCTGCCCAGTCAACAACCCCTGAATCGACACAGAGGCCATGCGACTTACTCTGCAAAATGAAAGGGTACCTTGGCAGCCTGTTGCCTGAAGGTGCTAACAAAGTGGGTGGCAGCAGGTCACCCAACACCTTTTGCACTCAGCTCTTTAGCAATGCTAACCTTCAAAACCTACACAGAGAACTGTCACATGATCCAGCAAGTCCTCTAAATGTATACCCCAAAGAACTGAAAGCAAGGGCTCAGACACATGAGCATAAATTATAACAAAAGGGGTAGGTACATACATTTGATGAAATATTAATCAACCATCAACATGAATTAAGTTAAACAATATGGTATTATAGGTATTCTAGGACAATTTTTGGTGTTTTATTTTTAAATCTCAACCCAGAGAGGTGACAGAGTTGGAAGAACAAATACACACACTGAGAAAGAGAGAGAGGGAGAGAGGGGATAGAGAGAGAGACACACACACAGAGAGAGAGAGAGAGAGAGAGAGAGAGAGGATAGAGAGAGAGACACACACACACAGAGAGAGAGAGAGAGAGAGAGAGAGAGAGAGAGAGAGAGAGCCCATGGGCACAAACCATGCTTCTGGTCAAGCTTGACTTCACTGCCATCCCCCTCATCTCTCTGCACTACTAAAGAAAATAGGTACATACAGTGGCGCGTTCCTATTATCTAGCACTAAGGAGGTAGAGGCAGGAGAATTGAGTTCAAGGACAGCCTGGGTTACAGTACAGTAAGTTGGAGATCAGTCTTTGCTACCCAGTATGTCT